AGTGGCCAACCAGAAGCCTATATGAGACTTGTAAGCAGGACATGAGTAAAATAACAACTTCCCAATGGTATTCCTTAGCAACTTCACATTTAAATGGATGCTGTTTTTGCCCCTAAAGAGATCATAATTAATAACCACTGATGGCCTGATCTTTCATGAACTGACCTATAGTGAAAAATGAAAAGAGATTCAATATGTGCAGCCTTCCCTGTTAACAGATTATTTTCATGTCAGACTCCTAATATACAGGTAGAACAAAATGCAATATCTAATAAGATGGTATTCATATAGTGTACAAATACCGCTTTAAATTCCAGATATTTGTGTAACATTGCCTCATGCAGTGACATTGTTCTACTGAGGACAACTTCTCCCACGTTCATAGTAATAAAGACTCATTGCATCTGACGTTGCTAACATCTCTAAAAGAACACATTATCTTTTAAAACATTTTCCCTGCTCTACTTTTTCAACAATCCAGGGTATAAAATAAGAGTTGCTGAACTTGTTTCTACAGTAGTTCAAAAGTGACTTAAAGTCAGAATGTAATATTCATTTTTTGAAAATTATTGAGAGCACATTTTGTCAGATTCTCTCTCTAACTTTTATACCTTTCTAGTTTCCAATACTAGTTTTAAATGAATTGGTTATTTTATAAGTAAGTTTGCAGTGCAAGTGAGTTCACAAACACTACGATTTAATTTATAAAATCATAATGTGATTTATTTGATTTTGGCTTGGTGATGTGATATGAACCACATCATAGTGGCTTCCACATATTGTGTGAAACCAAACCATTATGGTTAATAAACCATTATGGTTTATTATGGTTAATAAATGGTTTATTATGGTTAATAAACCAAAGAGTTAATTATGGTTTTACATCATTTGAGACTCAAATCTAAAGGTATTGGCCTATAGTGCAGATGATGGTATATTAATTGATTCCAACATAGCACAAAGCTATCCAGATGGGCATTTTAATGCCATGCATGGCACTTGATTGGAAGAAGTTACATCATGAAAGAAAAAATAAAATCTGTTATTTTTAACAACTTCAATTTCCTGTTTTATATAAACTGGGCAACATGTTGCTTGTTCAGATATAAAATCACAATTCCATCTTAATTTAAGGGTAATCAAAGTTTTCTTTAATTAACCATTTTCATTCTTTTCAGTCAACGAGTGACTTCATGAAAATGTTTACAATGTGCAGACTCAATAGCACTTTAAAGATTGTCATGTTTTATAAATAAAATACATCCTTTAACAGTCAGCAACCTTCACTGACAGAATTTGGGCTTGCATTTTAACAATTGAATTAATTTTTAATAAAAAAAGAGACTGTTATTTCTCATGTCATGTTCAAAATTGGAAGCCATTTTTCTAACCATGTTTCATTGCAAACGCAAGTTCTGTTACTGAAAGTCACTGATCCTTAAATGTTTTTCGTATCAGACTCAGGCCATGGAGCAAAATTGAAATTTTTTCACTGAAGGACTTCTAATTTAAAGTGAATATTGAAGAATGAAAATTATAGCTATCTGAGTCTTGTTTAGTCACCATGTCTCTGCATAGAATTTAATGTACAGCTATCAGCCACTCACTTCCCATAAGTCCTTGTGATGACCCGGAGTGTAACACAAACATAACAAAATCCAAAACGTAAATAAATGTCCTTTAATGCCGCCAACTTGGCCCCACTGTTCAATAATTCTCAGTTGGGAGATAAAACATACTTAAAAATAGTCTTCAAAAGAAAGCAATACAGTCCGAACTTAATGAGCAGATAGAGCTGAAATAAAAAACCAAACAAACTTCAATGACAAAATTTCCACAACGGACCAGGATAAGTAATTACCAAATTCAAGGAGATAACAAGGCACAGTCTGTTGGAAGGACGCCAACCAAATAACTTCAGCCCAAAAGAACACACACTGGCAACTGCCGTGTTGTAATCATCTCTCTTATATACTAGTCTCCCCAGCTGCAACCAATGAGGATCATGGCCACTTCCTCTCTCGCAAGCCAAGTTGTTTCCTTCTCTGTTCCTCCCTGCATGTCCTAGGATGAAGGGGGAATGGGCCTGGTTCGTCCTCTGACTGCCCAGCTGGCCTTTGCCCTTCCCCAGCCTCCTCCACAACCTCCGGAGCCACACCTCCACTGCCTGTCAGCTGTTCCTCCTCTCCTCAGAATCCGACTCTATCAAGGGCATGACAGTCCCTCTGGTGATATAATTGAAAAACCAGCCCCCACAAGGAATGTGCTGCATTCATGGGGTACATTTATGTATATGCTAAGATTTCCATTTCAACTAGAAATTTGATAATGCTGCAGGTAGAGCATTATATCTGCAGGTACGTTGCAGCCAAGGTCAACTAAATGTTTTCTAATATAGCATGAGTTAAAAAGGGGAAGGATACTTCACCTCTGCTCCTTTTATTGAATTCTACATGAGAAAATATAGTTTGGAAGGGCTATAGGATTTGCGGGCTTAGCTATTTGTTCTTCCTAAGGATCTGTAAACTGAAAAACTTTTTAAAAGACAAAAATACTGTAATTTGTATGAAAATATGCATCATGGAAAGGAGTTGTGAGTGTTTCAAATACTGCTATTAATATTAAAAGAATACTATTGGTGCAATTTTTTTTGCAAGTTGAGTGGCCAGATAAATTATTAAATAAATATTAAGCATTAAAATGATATTTCAAATTTATCACAAATTATATTGTTTGTAATTGACTGATATGTGTCATAATCAAGTCTTTGACTACTAATTGCAAATTTTTAAAATTCAGTAATTCAGCTAAAGAATATCAAGAGTTATGTTTAATTTCATGTCCTTAATCTTCTATTCTCAATTTCTGATGCACCAAACCCAATAATTAAAGTGATAAATTCCAGCTTGATTTTAGATTAAATTGAAGATTTATAGGTTATTCACTAGCCATCTGTTTCATGATTGACTTTTTCTTAATGCAACAAGAGAACTAAAGTGCAGAAAAATAACTTTCTTTAAAGGTTACACCTACTCATATAAATCCAGATTTTAACTGAAACACAACATACGGCATATTAATATTTCATCTGTCTGCTTGAATTGGAAGGAGAATAGGAAGCTGAAAAGCTGTGCTAAACCAATTGTTAGCTTATTGAGGATAATGATTACAGAGAAAATCCATGTACTGTAGTTTCTGAGCCATCCAGAATAGTTCTTGGAAAGTTGAGAGAGTAGTCGATTTCCAAATATTCTTACAAATTTAGTATTATCCAAGTACTTTGAACCATAACTCTACCAGCCCAGACTAACTTGTCTACAGCAATAGATTATTTTAGGTCAGTTTGCCCTTTGCAGAATATTAATCAATTTCAAAATATTCTTTCCATGGGGGGAAAGCAAGTAGAACATACTTTTTTGAAGAAAATAGAAAGCAACTTTTTTGAGGAGTACATCCGAATTTAGTGAAAGCAAGAAGCAGAATTGAGAAGAGATAATGCAGATTTAACCTGGAAACAAGGAGAATTTTTCTGACAGTGAGAAACAATCAACCAATGGAACACCTTGCCCTCGGAAGTCGTGAGAGCATCATCCCTTGAGACTTTCAAGAAGATATTGGACTGCCATTTGTCAGAAATGGTGTAGGGTCTCCCACTTGGGCTGGGGTTGGACTAGATGACCTACAAGGTCCTTTCCAACTCTGATTATCTGTTATCTGTTAGAATGCTTGTAACCAATAAGTTAAAATATCTGCTGTAATGAAGAAACAAATGTGTTCTTCTCATTCACAGTATGCCATGCCTCATCTTGTTTAATTTATAACTTTCCATGATGAAAAAAATACTTTGCAGATACTATTGTAGAGCCAATTTGGTCTAGCGATTAAGGAACCAGGATAGAAGCTGGGAGATTTAGTCCCACTTTAGGCATGAAAGGGTGACCTTGGGCCAGTCATTCTCTCAGAGCTCACCTCACCTCACAAGATTGTTGTTGTGGAGAAAATAGGAGGAGGAAGTTATGCTGGATATGTTTGCCACCTTGAGCTATTTGTAAAAATAATAAAGGTGGGATAAAAATAAAATAAAATAAATTATTTAATTGGTCACGTACAAACTTTTGTTTCACCAATAAATGAAAGAAGAAATCTTCCTTCTCTGCTCTAAAGCATTACAGCATGAGAAAAGGTACCCCACATGATTCTTGGCTGAGAGGGTTGGATTAGATGACCTACAAGGTCCCTCCAACTCTGTTAATCTGATTCTGTTTGCATGTAATCTACTGCTTCAGAAAATAAAATGTGATGCTTTCAGCCTGGTTGCTATACTTGCAGATCTCAGAAACTTTAGGAATGATTATTATCATATCTGTGTTACTGAAAACGATTGGACATACTTCAAACCTCTCTTCGATGCCATGCTATAAATTGTTGTATCATCAACCTTTGAAAGGGTAAACCTTATGCAAATATGATCCACCAGCCCATTTTATTGGCAGTCAAACATGTTTTCATTGCACATAGAACTCTTAACTACACAAAATGGAAAACAACCCATGGAATCTACTGCTCTATAACTTTAACTTCTGTACATGACAGTTTTAAAAAATCCAGTATATTGTCACAACATAAAGTTTAATATACAGATATTAATTAATATCACAATGTCTCACCAATAGAAAAAAAATATCAGCAAGATTAATCATTCTGAAAAAAAGCGAATGTAATTTATATTGGGCAGGTATAATTTGCAATAGCCAGGTTCCCACAAAGGCCATCCAAAATGCTATGACTTTAGCTCTAATAAATTAAAAGATTTAACCAATGTAAAACAAACAATGGCTTAGTTAAAATACTGATTTTATTTAAAGTGAATATCTTGAACACAAAGGAGTTGACTTTCTATTTAAGTAAAACTTTATTTAACTATAGAAGCTTTGCATAAATAAAAAATAAGTATTTGGACAACATCACCATACCATAGCAGACTTTTTGGCATACCATACCTGAACATCACTGGCTTTCATTCTTGTTTCCTCTTTTCCAACAAAGATGTCATCAATATCTACAAGTATGTATCTATCCAGGGATAATGGAAGTCTCTTTCCAGTCAAAAATGAGACAGCATCTATAAAGATGAGTTTGTGCAGCCAGAAGTTCAAATTGTTACCAAAAAGAACACGCTGAATTCCATCATGAAGACCCAAGTCATGAATAACTGTTGCGTGGAGAACATTTTTAATAGCAGCTGGAGGGAGGTTTTCAGGTACTCTTACTTTTGCAAATACAACAGGTTGGTAAGCTGAATGATTTATATGGAAAACTGTCCAGTCAGTTCCAGGCAAAGGCGCTTTATCAAGTTTGGATGGTTTTGTTAGATGGAGCAAAGGAGAGTGGGGATTGATGCAACAGTCTTTTATACCTACATTGCCATGAATCTGGAAAGGAAAACCTTTTAACTTAAAAGTCTGCAAAGTATTATCATTGCTTTTTTGAAACCCAATCATTCCTACACTGAATTCCCCGCAGTATTTATCTAAAAGGCCCCGATTCCAGGAATCCATATTCATATATTTAGAAATATTTTCATATATTATTAGAACATACTTGCCTTTATTTTTATCTATCAGTACAGGAAGGTCACCTTTCCCAGAAGCAATCTCTATGTGATATTGGAACCTGCTGGATTCTAATATCATGACTATATCTTGACCAAGTACAGAGTACTGGCTTTCCACAAATACAAGCACAACAGGATCAGTCCTTAGTGGTTCACTGGCCTTAATCATCTTCCATGGAGATAGCAGCACTGGAAGATTCCCACATTCGACCTCTGAAGAAATGTCAGAAACTTCATTTTCTTGTTTGTAGCCATTGTATAAATAATATGCTGAAATAACAATGCTCACCATACAAAACGTAGCTAGTAAGATTACTGTTCGTTGAAAATGTTTATGAAGCTTCACAATAAAAGTCATGTTGTAAGTCAGGCTTAGATGCTTTCCAGTTGTGACTGCATTGAGATTTGTAAAGTTTCAGAATTTATTCCAGTTCAATTTCAGCAGTTTATGTCACCATTGCAGCATGTATCTCTGCCTTCAGTATAATTCAGAGTCAATATATTCTGGAAAGGAAAAAGAGTGTGTTAAGTGATTTTTTTTTCACTCTTAACCAATTGATCACAATAATCTTAATATTGAAAAACTACCTAACAATGGAATTAAATTTGAAGTGAGAACTGAATTAAAAGGGTCGTCATAAAAACAGACTTCTCCAACATGATTCTTCCTAGATGTCCTGGATCAATTCCCATTACCTGCACTCTATATGCCAATTTATCAAACCACATCTTCATTAAAATGCAAGTAATTAACAGAACTTTTTTTTATTCCAAACCAAATGCCGTTACTTACTATTAGATATGTAAGTTATCTTTTGGCATAATATTTTATTTACCATATTTTTTGCACTATAAGACGCACCTAGGTTTAGAGGAGGAAAACAGACAATGTCAAAGACAGAAGAAGTGGGATTCAACACTGTAAAAGGACCCCACAGCCACGGCCCATATTTTCACTCCCTAAGACGCACAGACATTTCCACCCACTTTTTTGGGGGTGGGTGGGGGGGATGTGTGTCTTATGGAGTGAAAAATACAGTAATCATTTAAGTCCTGAAATTTATCATTGTCCAATATAATAAAATATAGAAAAACAATTCATATTTATATATTTAAAATAATTATTAAAACATTAAAACAAAATATAAAAATAAATTTCGAAATGTTTAAATCTTCCTCAACATCAGGTATATCTTAATGGACAGGGATTCAAGAAACAAGATTTGTGACTTTTTCTAAATAAGAAAGGGCCTTCTTGGAAACAAAAGAAGATAAAACATTCAGATGCTTTTCTGATCCTGAAGGATTAGTAGGCTTTCTAAAAATATTCACCTTTGATAGCTGGCAAAATGACAATGGAGATGGACAGCCAGAATTCAAAGTTTCAGACTATCCAGAAAAGATTTTCCTCTCATTATTATTAGGGGACATGATTGAGACATTGGAGGCTAAAACATATAAAGAATGGTTGCTGGAATTGGGTATGTCTACTTTAATGAAAAGAAGGACTAGGGGAGACATGATAGCAGTGTTCCAATATCTCAGGGGCTGCCCCAAAGAAGTGGGAGTCAAGCTATTCTCCAAAGCGCCTGAGGGCAGGACAAGAAGCAACGGATGGAAACTAATCAAGGAGAGAAGCAATTTAGAACTAAGGAGAAATTTGAAGAACAATTAATCAGTGTAACAACTTGCCTCCAGAAATTGTGAATGTTCTAACACTGGAAGTTTTTAAAAAGATGTTGGATAACCATTTGTCACTCTAAAGTGGTGTAGGGTTTCCTGCCTAAGCAGGGGGTTGGACTAGAAGACCTCCAAGGTCCCTTCCAACTCTGTTCTGTTCTAGTCTAGTCTATCCTATTCTAAAGAAGCAATGGGTGGAAACTCATCAAGGAGAGAACAATCCAAAACTAAGGAGACATTTCCTGACAGTCAGAACAATTAATCAGTGGAAAAACTTGCCTCCTGAAGTTGTGAATGCGCCAACACGAGACGAGCACTTTAAGAAGAGATAAACCATTTGTCTGATATGGTATACAGCAGGGATGTCCAACCTTGGCAACTTTAAGACTTGTGGACTTCAACTCCCAGAGTTGAAGTCCACAAGTCTTAAAATTGCCAAGGTTGGACACCCCTGGTATAGAGTGTCCTGCCTAATCAGAAGGTTGGACTACAAGACCTCCAATAAGTGTGTTATTCTATTCTATTCATTCTCCCTTTAAAGTTATCACTGACATGGACAGATAAAGTATTTTAAAATTCAGGATCAATATTTTTTTTAGAGACACCTCCCACCCCCAGTGTCCAATTAGATGAGGGTGGGGGGTGGCATGTTCCAGATTTCACCCATTAAACAGTACCAGCATGCAGGATCCAGGAATGTGACTTCATTTGGTATGATAGCACTATGGATCAACTGTCTACTATTGACCTCACCCCTTTCCTAAGAGGTCTCTAGGGGGCGTGCATAAGCGCACCAATGTGCCTACCGTCCCTGTCCTATTGTTTCTCTTATTCTTCTTTTATTTTTCTTATATGTACCCATTTCATGTATTCATAACTATGTATACACTTATACTTATTATCTTGTAAACAATTGACAAATCAAATAAATAAAAAAATAAACTTTCCTCCAATATCCAAAGAGCCCCAACATGCTTGATCTGAACCATCCATTAGACCCAGGAGCAGAATGTTATCTGAATCACCAGTAAGTATCAATACGTGTTTTTGTAAGTTATTGTGCTTGGCATATAGTATAAGATGTATCACTGCTGTTTGTTGGATTTTTATTAGTCTTCTTAAGATTTTTTTTTTGTATTGTTAGCTTCCCAGAATAGAGTGGTGAGTGGACAGCCATATAAATTGAATAAATAAATAAAGTGAAGTCCTTTTCCTGGACTAAAATTATATGTTTCAACTAAACATGACAAATTGCACAATATTTTCCTATAATGTTATATAGATATTAGTCATCTAACCCACACTGAGTACGCATAGCATTTTTTCAGAAAAATAACACCATGTTTGTCAGTAAAATACATCAACATGAGAAGACATTAAAAATAAATTAATACCTTAAAATAAGCAGCAATTATTATTACCCATTCAATGTAGTTATGGGGAAGATAATTGATACAAGTACGGCTTAATATATGAATTATATAAAATAATACGTTCAATATAAACTAATAGGATAAGCAACATTTGTTGCTAGGGAACCTTACAAAATAAACATTAAGACATGATAAGCAAAAAAATGTTTTCAAGTCTTACTGGATTTAATGGGAAAAATAAAACTACGTCATCCTTGTGAAGATCAATCAGGCTTCATTGATCTTAACATCAGCTTGATTAAGTCCTCTTTTCTGTTTTGATACAATTAAAAAGTAAATGTTTAATATGTTGTAAAGCATAAGATTAAAGAAGGGCACATTCTAACATTTTTTTAAGTTAAATGTATTTGGATTTTACTTGTTTGGAACATTTACAATCACTGTAAGTGACCAGTGTGTGTGTGTGTGTGTGTGTGTTTGTGTTGTGTGTGTTTATTTACATTTTTTTAAAAAACCAATAGATAAGAATCTAAGAGGGCCATATTGATACTTGATAAATTTCCAACATATATGAATCCATCGTGTAGGAATCACACAACACGGACCTATTCTTTTTAGACCTTATACTAATCACAAAATGCTTCATATTCCATGCCTGAAAATTGTTTATGCAGCATTCCTTTTAAGGAATACCTATTTCACCAGCAACATATTTACAGCAGTCTTCCATAAGAGGACAACACATTTTTCCCAATGCCCTTATGAAATTGTTTTAACCAAGCCCAAACAAACTAAATGTTGTGACTATTTGCAGTTTTGTTGCTCTTTGATTCACTTCCATACCAGTCTAGAGTTGGCTACAATATAAATAAGTCAAATGGTACGTAATATATTTTAACCCTATATTTTGCATCTTCCCAGGTATAAGTGTAGTGGAACAACCTCCAGAGGTGGTGAATGCTCCAACACTGGAAGTTTTAAAGGAGAGATTGGACAACCATTTGTCTGAAATGGTATAGGGCAGGGCTGTCAAACTTGTAGCCCGGTTTAGAAAGGGGGAAAAAGTTGTGATATGTCATGTGACAACCCGAGTTTGACATCCCTGGTATAGGGTTTCCTATCTAGCTGGTTGGACTAGAAGATCTCCAAGGTTCCTTCCAACTCTGATATTCTGTTCTGTTAAATATTCCAAAATTGTAGTGATGTTAAAAAGAAACGACATATTTCAGAGTATTCACCTAAATATTTCAGTCCAACTATCGGAATGCTGACCCAGCAAAACTTGGCCTCTTTTCGATGCAAGGAACCAAGAATGCAATCCCATACATCCCACTGAGCTAACTGGTACAAGCTTAACAGGATTGCAACTGTGAAGTTGAAAATTCTTCCAGCTAGACTGAAATAGTTTTTTTTTTTTTTTCAACTGTGGATGGAATTGCTTCCCCTAACATTCACATTCAAAATAAAGTATGAGGTTCCTGTGGATTTCCCCCTCAAAGCAATAAAGATAGTATTTATTTTTAAAAAGTAAAATAAAATCAGATTGGACTCCTCTATTTAGGTAGTCTGTATTGTACTTGTAGAAATTACAATACAGTAATTTTAATGTTTTAAAATTACTGTTTCTCATCAACTGACTTTCTAATGAGTTTATTCCAATGACTATAAGTCCAGCCTTAGGAATGAAAGCCAATTGAGCCATTTTGGGCCAGCCAGGCACTCTCTCTCAGCCCAACGAATCTCATAGTGTTGTTGTTGTGGGGAAAATAAGAGGAGGAAACAAAATTAGATATGTTTGTGGCCCTGACTTATTTATAAACATAATAAAAGCAAGGTTAATATATATATAGTTGTGCTTTAGTTATGTTGTGCTTTATATATATAGTTGTGCTTTAGCTATAGTTGTGCTTTAAAAGCACAACTATAATGATGTGGGAAAATACCCAAACAAAGCTGAATACTATATATACATATATACATATACATACACACACACACACACACATATATATATACAAAATTCAGAACATCCAGATTTTAACAATATCATTACATTCTTTTTCAAATGAAATTACTAAAATATTTAATAATACATTCCTCACATTTAATCAAAAGTCCACCCCTTTCAGTCCAATGCTGCTTAATCCAAAGAATTGTGTGCAGTATGGGTGCAACCTAAACAATTTGTTCTCTGCCATTGTTTTGTCTACATTTCTAATTAAGATTTGTAAACATATGCTGCCTTTTGCCTGACAGTAGGATATAAAAAGGATCACAACTCATCTTTGCATATAAAGTTCATTAT